TACGTCCGCCAGAGGCTGGTAGAGCTTATACAGTGGCATTATAGCCCCTGAATGGCCCAGTTCTGATACTTCAAGTCTCCAATACCTTCCAGAAGCCCCAGATATCCGGATATAGAAACCTGATTTTCCTCCTTCTTTCACAAGCTGTCGCACCATCAAAGTCTTTGCTGGTGCCGAACCTGTTTACTGGGAAACGGTTAGCCAATTTCCTGGATGCCAAGGTAGGATACGTGGCGGGGATTTAAGAGTACTCCGTGGCTGTACGATCGTTGTATAGCCGTAAGAAGGAATGCTATCCCCTGAGGACCCCGGCGCGACTTGCCCTTGATGTTGCATGGGGCAGGCTCATCCTAGCTTCAGCCGGGGGACGATCCGGGCCCACAACCCGAACGACTTTCTTCAGGAATGAGACCCCCTTCGAGTGTTGGAATGCCCCCGTTCATGCAGACATCTCAGCCTGGAACAGATTCAAGTAATGGTAATATGATCGCGCTGTAACTGCGCAACTATTCGCGTGAAAATGACGGTACCTATTCAATATGATATCCTTCCTGAATGCTCTTCGCCGCGCGTACCTCCGAAAATCCGCAGATTCTTCATGCTTCACATTCAAAGTTTCCTTTTCTTCATGTTTCTAGCTTTTTACAATCTTTCTGGTATTAGTTCATTCCTCCTCTTGGCGCCGTGCGCGTAAGTTCTCAACATGGTTGCGGGACCCAATGTCTCCGTCTTCGTCACAAGCATAATATTCACAACTCTTTCTTTCGTCCTCGTTGGGCTGCGATTATACACGCGCATTGTGGTGGTGCAAAACGTTGGAATCGATGACTGGTTGATGCCTGCCGCATTGGTAAGCTCAGTTTACCAACTCTCAGGTGGAAACGGGATGGGGAAGCTGAGATCTTCAACTAGGCGGCCTCAATCGGCTTTTGCGTCGTTGTCATGCATCGTGAGTATTTTGATTAGGCACATGCTAACATCGAAGAAACGTTGCTCACAACACCACAGAAATCAAGTATGGATTAGGTATGCCGATGTCTATCATCGCAGAAGATGACCTGGTCCGATTCTTCCAGGTCAGTTAGGAATTACAGATGAATGTAATCGGAGGATTGGTACTAATATTTCACATCGGCAGTGTCTCTGGGCGACGATTCCGACCTACAATCTAGCTCTGTTGCTTTGCAAGCTATCGATCGTCTTCTCATACTTGCGCGTGTTCAAGATCCCGACAACACAGAAGATTTGCAAGACCATGCTGGCTGTGCTCGCGGTATACGGTGCCTGGACTGTCTTTGGATCAATCTTCATGTGTGTTCCCGTACAGGCCTTCTGGGGCGACGGCACGGGGAAGTGCATGAACCGCTTGGCTTTCTGGTTTTCCAACGCAGCTTTGAACATTCTCTCGGACATTATCATTTGTTGTATTCCCATACCACTGATCAAATCCCTGCAAATATCCAAGAAGCAGAAGATTGCGCTCATCATGGTCTTCGCCGTGGGAGGATTGTGAGTCTCTGTTTAGCAGACTTTCTTGATCTGGTCTACAACTGACAAATTCTACAACAGTGTTTGTGTGACTTCTATGATTCGGCTTTACTCTCTTTACGAGATTTCCGTATCTACCGACACATCACGTAAGACTGAACTTGGAGAGGATCCGGCATAAAGCAACTAGTATATCATCAGGCTAACATCACGCGAATAGGAGATGGAGTCCACATTGCAACATGGTCCGGCATAGAGATCAACGTCGCCATTGCCTGTGCCTCTGTCCCTGCACTAAAGCCACTCATAGTGAAGGCCTTCCCGAAACTGTTGGCGAGCACTCAGCGCAGTGGGTATCGATCAGGTAACGCTTACAGTGGGATGAATGCCGGAGACTCGCATCACATGCAGTCAATGCGGAGTCGGAAGGCTACCAAGACGAATACAAACATCGCCATTGAAACAAAAATAGAGATTGTCAGCCGCAACGGTAGCCAAGCCGATTTGGTACGACAAGGAGGTGGAAACGGCACCATGGTGGCTGAGTGTTATTCAACAGAAGAGAGACCGCCGGCTCAAGGTCGTGATATGGTTTGAAGAGAGTGAATCGGTAAAAGAGTATATCATCTTAGCGTCAGAGAAAAGCAGTGTTGTAGGACCATAGACCAAGAGGCGACGGGACAACGTGTTCATAATGCTACATGTAATGGGAGTTCGAGAGTAGATCCGGTCCCTAGCAAGTTGCTGTAGATCATGTAACGGACTAACAGTGAATTTCTCAACATACCTAGTAGAAAACCATCACGGCGTCTAGGAATTGTGGAATACTTGGAACGCAACTTGATCTTATCAGGGAGGCCCAATATTGAAACTGTCCGAGATGGAACTATAAGTAGATGACTTCCCAGGTAACACGCTTGCATTGTCAACCAGAATCTTTCAATAATGATTCTAGACGAGCGACAACTCTTACTTTAGAACCACATTCTCTCCCAAAACTTTTGACTTCCTTTCCTAGAAAGTCTCCTGTGCCGGCCTCATATCCAACTCATGCGTCCAGAGGGAACTCGGCTGCTGTGACAACCAAAGATACAACTCTCCAACATCTTCCGCGCGCATCCGCTTGCCGGTCTTGGTGTTCTCGTTCTCTTCATCGATAATTCCGCCATTGGCAATAGCATGAACCACGTGTACACCAAACTTGCTGTGTTCCTTTGCAATAGCCTGGGCTACCATCCTCGCGGCTGCTCGAGATGCACCATAGGCAGCGTACTGCTGATTTGTACGCATGGCTCCCAAAGTGCCCGTGAAGATGATGGTGCCCTTCTTCGCACCCTCAGTATCGGAAAGAAGCGTCTGCCCTCCATTCTGTGCGTACATAAGCTTCAACGCTTCTTGCGCAAATACAACGCCTCCGGTTGTGAAGGTGCTCATGCTGTCATTGAAAGCTTCTGGCGTTTCTTCGAGGAATGGCTTCCTGCTCGAGTTCTTGACGTGGTATATGGCGAGCTTGAGCTTGAGATCTTTGAAGTCTGCATGATCTGCGATTTGTTGGAAAGTCCGCCGGAGGTTTTCGGGCTCAGTGTCTGTAGGAAAGGGGTGGAGTATGCCATTGGAAGACTTGCGTAGATCGGTCGCAAGATTCTGGAGATTTTCGGGGTTTCTGGCAAGTAGCGCAACTGCCAAGTTGCCATGTTGGGGGCTGGCTAGAATTCGAGCGATCCCTGCGCCGGAAGTAGGCCCTGCACCGATGATGATTGCGAGTCCTTTGGGCGCCATTGTGTAGTCAGTCTCAACTTTATGGTGGTGTCTTGAAGTACAGTTTGATGTTTCCAATATCTGATTCTGATTACATGGTCTTGAGTTAGACCATCAGCATACCTCCCATTTATATACTTACTCATACACAGCTCACTGAATTGATTACAGTGGTGCTGGCTGGACTTCCCATGGGAACGGACGTCATTGATCGTCCGATCCGTGCTCAGGCCGTGCCCCGCGCCGACTTATAGTGGAATAAAGTGATAGAAATTCGGGGATAAGACGTCACGATTTGCTCAAGACGCCTATGTCCGATTTAGTGGCTGCAACCTGCTGACCATGCTGACGGAGGCAGCTCTGGCTGACTAAATCATGCTTGATGTCTATCATTACCTTGGCTAACAGTCAACTGAATAAGTTCTGTGTGCATTTCTCTATTTGTCAATAGCAGGCGATCTGGCCTGGCGGATGCCACCCTGATACTTTGGACATGGACATACACGCTCTTATCATTTCAACGTGGTGCAAATATGTTTGTCGACTTGAGTCGTTTCTCCGGCCGGCCCTACCGAACTAATCCATCTTCAAGATTCAAAAAGCTAAAGTAAATATGAATGGTGCGAGCCAACAACAGAGCCACGCCTAGGGGAATTCAAATATAAGCTAGTTGAAGTATCTTGCAAACTCAAATTTGCATCGCCTTGACCGGAAGACTTACTTAGAAGGATTCCAACATTGGCGACATGAGACTGAGCGCCTTTGGGATCACGTAAGTACTCTGAGAGAAATAGAGTCTTGAAAGAGGCATGTAGCTTTGAGACCAGGTCTGGTTGAGTTGCTCGAATTAAGGCGGCCATTTACATCTTTAAGCAGCCATTGAACGTAGGCCAGTCCCCGCGGCGTTATTGGGATGTCTGTCGAAGACCTCAAAGTCCGTCATTCAGCCGGGCAATGGCGTCATCTTTACCGGTGTAATCGAGAATGGGAGATTTGACGTGATTACGTTCTTCCTCCCACCATTGGCTGTTTTCTTTAGAAAATCCATATATCTTTGCAATCAAGGCTACGCTCAAGCAATGTTCACGGAGTTCGGGTACTCTGAACCCCTCTTGGCGCATGTTGCAGCACACGGAGCCAATCGTAATCCTCTTGACCAAGTCTCGCTGCATGTGTGCGAAAGACCTCTAGGATTTGAATATTGCGACATGGCGGGGTCGATGATTAATTTTTGTTTGTTACACACTAGAGAAGAAGGTCCTCAGGTGCTTCCCTTGAGATAACTTACATCGTCCACCTCAAATCTGAAGCAGAGCTCATATTTTGCATGATTCCATACGTTAGGTATAGTAACATTCGAGCACGATGACCGCAACAAACCCCTTCTCCCAAATAAATTTCACGAGGTTTTTAGGACAAGCTTTAATTCTATCTGTTCTTATTCTGGTCGGCTATCTACTACAAAATGAAATAAAGAGGCATCGAGGTAAAATCAAACATGTTCCTGGTCCTCTTGGGTGGCCTGTGGTTGGCAACCTTTTCCAGGTAACTGAACATTTATATACCATGAGTGATCGTTCTTGGAGAAAGTAACTGATACAACGCAGAACCAAGACCAAGTACCAGCAGAAACATACCGAGTCTGGGCAAAGAAGTATGGGCCCGTGTTCCAGATACAGCTAGGAAATACCACGGCTGTTGTCGTCAACACTGTAGAGTCTGCCAAACAGCTATTTCTCGGACAACGCCATGCGATGAATTCTCGACCAACCTTCTATGTATTCCATGGAAAGGTCAGCAAAGCCGTTACAAGTATCGGCACCAGCCCATGGGACGACTCCTGTAAACGTCGCCGCAAGCTCGCAGCTGGGGCATTGAATCGTCCGCGGGTAGAAAGCTACGCGCCTATCTTGAATTTGGAGGCACGGGAGTTTCTCAAAGACCTATACGAAGAATGCTGTGGTGGTTCGGAGGATCTCGACTTCCGTCCGGCTGTCAGGCGCTTTGCCCTCAATCTTAGCCTGACGCTCAACTATGGGACAAGAGCCTCCCATGTCAAGTCCCTGGTGGAAGATCCTCTATTTTCCGAGATAATTTATGTCGAATCCGAGATCTCAAAACTTCGCGACACAGGAAAGAACTACACTAACTACATACCCTTGCTGCGATACTGGGAGCCGATTGCTAGTGTGTTAGGTTTACAGTCCACACCGACGAATCACGCTGGGGACATTGGCCGTCGAAGATTGGAATACAACGACATACTCCTCAGCCGACTAAAAGACGAGATTGCTCGGGGTAAAGACAAGCCCTGCATTCAAGGCGCTGTTCTGAAAGACCCTGAGTCGGCAACCCTGACGCGAGAGGAGTTGATCAGTGTGAGCCTCAGTATGATGGCAGTAAGTTCATCCTACAATTAAACCGGAAGCTCATGATGGACTTGCCCTGACATATTCCAGGGCGCCGACTCGAACCAGCCTACCTTGGCTTGGGCTATTCTTCTACTTGCACACCGCCCTGATATTCAAGACAAAGCATATGCCGCCATCCAAGATGCTGGTGTTCTACAGCAATCATCCAACACATATGCTTCTACAAAGATTGACTACATAGATGCACTGACAAAAGAGATCTCGAGATACTTTGTCGTCTTGAAGCTCGCGCTACCGAAGGCGACATACGCTGATGCCACCTGGGAGTCCGCCACGATTCCGGCCAACACTCTGGTTTTCTTGAACAGCTGGTCATGCAACAGAGGTGACTTTGCCACAACTCAGATGAAGTGTCATATTAGACTGACCGCCAAGCCAGACCCTGACCTATTCAAGGAGCCCGAAGTATTCGCCCCTGAGCGTTGGCTTCCAGATGCACCGGATCAATACGCGCATCAATTCGCCTTCGGTATGGGGGGCAGAATGTGTGTAGCGTCTCATCTTGCACACAGTGCCTTACACACAGCCTTTTCGCACTTGATCGCCCGATTCAAGATCTTGCCTGCAGACGGTAAGGATTCTATGGAGATCGATCCGATTAAAGGACTTGATGGCCTCTCGTTTGTTGCCAAACCGAAAGGTTTCCAGGCTAAGTTCGTTCCAAGAGATGGAGCACGATTGGAGGGTTGGCTGAAAAACCCTGATGAGTGCTTGTGCAAGTCTCTGTGAACTCTTCATTCTTGAAAAGAATAGATGCAGTCGGTGGCAGGCTTGTTTGTGTCCAACCAATTCAATATTGCTAGGACATGCTGATTCAATTTGGGCTTGGGGACTCCAGGTAAATTGTAAGTGGAAGTATCATTTACGGACGTCCGTGTTGAAGTCAAGTAGAATCATACATATCAGCACCTCAGAGATGGTCTGAAGAAATTTGTGCGACTTGTCAGTGTAAACTGCCACCCATTCTATCGGCGCCACGCCTGTACATTTGCCTTAATATCTTGTAAAACCTACGTGAATGGTCCGATGCCTTGAGATTAATAAGGTGTCCCGGGAAATGCACGTAGAAGGACTAGAAGCATAGCTTGCCGTTTTCCCGACATACAAAAGCCTAATGTAAGCCCGGCGAACAGCTCTCCACTTATCAGGACCGCGCAACATCCGAACATCGGGGATCAGACTGCATGCGGTCAGCAGCCACTCGCAACTGATCATTGTGATGGATAACGGACTTGGTGCAGTATGTCGCCATAGGTCGTGCGGGCCATTCCACCGAACCCCGCCGGACACCATTAATTACTTAAACCACCGAGCTACACTATTCGGACATTTATGACACGGTTCTCAGCCCAATAACTCTATGCCCAGTCGCTAACTCACATCAATTTAACGGGAAACGGTTTTCAATCTTTGTGTTTCAAGATGCCTTCTCCAAACCTCAACGCTGCCGACCTTTTCGGCGTCAAGGGCCTCATCGCCGTAGTCACGGGTGGGGGAACTGGTACGTCATTCATCAACCGCAGTAGCAACCCTCCAGTGTTTGCTTACGATTCAACCTAGGCATCGGTCTCATGATTGCACAAGGCCTCGAGGCGAACGGGGCAATTGTATACATCATCGGCCGACGGAAAGAAGCTTTGGAACAGGCGGCAAAGACAGCTGTAAGTTTCTGCGAGAGCGTTGGGCCCAGCAGAGTCTATCATCCATACCGGTCATGCATGGCCCTTATGTTCGAGAGATATGACGACTGATGTTGGCGCCCTAAATGTGAATAGAAAAACGGCAACATTCGCACCATCCAAGGTGATATCACCTCAAAGAGCGACCTCGAGCGAGCGGTCGCAGAGATCAAGGAGGCTCACGGATACGTCAACGTCGTCATCGCCAACTCAGGCATCGGCGGACCGGCTCTCAAGGGCTTGCCCCCTAACCCGACCATTGCTCAGTACCGCGACTTTATCTTTGGCTGGGAGCAGAAGGACTTCACCGAGACCTTTGCTGTGAACGCTACCGGCGTGTTTTTCACGGTCGCAGCATTCCTGGAACTTCTCGATGAGGGTAACAAGCGCAGCAATTTCAAGCAAAGGAGCCAAGTCATCGCGACTAGCAGCATTGGCGCGTACAACCGCAACCCGATGGGCTTCGCTTATGGAGCGTCAAAGGCAGCTGTGGTGCACATGTTCAAGCAATTGTAAGCGGTCCTGAAAGAGTTACAAGAGCCGGCCTCGAGACTAACATCTATCAAGGAGCACCACGCTGGTCCCATTCAACATCCGCGCCAACGTAATTGCACCTGGATGTAAGTCTACTTCCTTCCGACGCCACGTAGGGCACTCGTTTTGACTCGGAGTCCATGGGGCAGGATTTTCAATCATCTACTAATCTCAATTTACAGTCTACCCGAGTGAGATGACAACGGCAACGGTCGAGGCCCACAAGGAGGGTTGGCCCAAGACTACCATTCCTGAAGAGAGGGCGGGAGACGTAGAAGATATGGCTGGCGCTGTGTTGTTCTTGGTTAGCAGGGCAGGCGCTTACACCAACGGCAATGTGCTCGTAACAGACGGTGGAAGGCTTGGAATCGTGCCGTCTAGCTATTGAGCGACTTGGAGTTGCAAGTGTGAATACTTGAGAGACGTTAAACAACAACTTTGATATAGTCTCAGTCCTTCGTTCTTTTGGTGATATACCTGAGATTGAAAGTTTGTTTTGTGAACAAAATTGAAGTTTGTGGTCCATCGAGAGGTAACTGTGCCTCGGCTGTGGTCGAGAGAAAAACGAACTTTATCAAAACTTCAAAAGAACAGATGTCTAGCGCACAAAGAATAGCTTGGTCTGTGAGATAGGTCAAGGTCTACGCATGAAGTGACGCTAATTACGCTAATTCTTCTCTACGCTTCAAGATATAATGGGCGACAGTGATCGCTCATCGTGAAAAGATGCAGTCTCAGATGTTGACCAGCCCAAGTCTCATGTTTCCGATGGCTCGTATTCGTGACATTCGGAAAAGCTCCTACAAGCGAAACCCAGGGGAAACGGCACTATTTGAGTGTGAGAAATGCGGAGATCATAGCAGGCTGCCCCCGCTACTCCTGCACATCTGAACCGGGGTGATGTCACCCTAACGTGCCGCAAACACATGGATACAAGGGATGTAGCCAACCAGAACCGAGAAGTTTCGCGATCAACGCCTCCAAGTACCGGGAAGGAGCAATTATCCATCCGGCATCTTCCCGCTATTCTAGGTTCTGACTGGAGTTCTTGGCTTCGGCTGGACAACCCTCCCGCAATGTGCCAATCCACGCGAACCACTGAGACATGAGATTGGCTACATTCTTCACCCATTTGGGGCGGACAACCTCGAACTCACAATCGCAAACCAATGAAAGAACAACAAAGAAGTAGGCATCATGGGGGAGCTGAAAATCGGATGTGGACCACCTGTTCCCAATGTTTGTGTCTTAACCTAGCCAAGTACGTCCTGGAGGCAAGCGAGCAAACGAATCGGCGCGCTCCTACAGGCTACTGGTAAGTCGAGGCATCATAGCGCTGGTCGCGCTGGCGGCCACTGGGTTCCAGACTGAAAGGGTGGACTGGTCATCCATGCTCCTGCTGAAACGGAATCTACACATCCGATGCAGGCTGGTATGGGAACCACCACTCTTTATATCCATGACCATACCCAGTTGCCAGCTTTCAGCTACCTTTGAGGGCCTGCATCCGAACTTGCTTTGAATTTCTGGCAGAGCTTTGCTTGGGAGTCGAGAGTGGTATCTCATCATGTTAAGTCCTTTGTCAGTGGCGCTTTTGGCGCTACCGGCGCTTCTCTTGTACCTGTACTCTGCCCTCAGCTATCGCCGGCTGAAGCAATACGCCAACTTTCCTCAGCTGAAGCCTTCAATAGTATGGGGTCACCTCAAGGCCATAAACGAACACCACGTGAAGCGCAATGAGAAGGACTCTCAACTCGGTCCGTATTAGCGACGGGAGGTATGTGGTGCTGTGGGCTAATCTCAGTTTCGCAGATCCCACCATGGGAGATATGCTCGAGGAGATCGGTAACCCTCCCATCATGCTTCTAGACCTTCGTCCAGTCAGCCGGCCCCTACTGGTCATCCGAAGCCATGAGATCGCGGAGCAGGTATCAAGACAATCAAAGATGTGGCCCTACAGCGCACCGAAGTCCGACACCATGATGTATCTCACACCGCTGCTGGGCGAGAAGTCAATCGTAATGTCTCAAGTAAGAAGTTCCTTCGCATGTTTCACGTTTGTTCTCTTTTTACAGAATATGGACGCGAAAACATCCGTCAGAATATGATTTAATGTGGACTCTTCTCGCAGGGCTCCGGATGGAAAGATATGAGAAAGCATTTCAACCCTGGCTTCGCTCCCCAGCACCTCATGAGTCTGATGCCAGTAATTTTGGAAAAGACTCAGACCTTCCTCGCCAAACTCGACGAACTCGTCAGGACGGGTGAAGAGTTTGAGCTGGAGCCTTTGTGCACTAATCTTACTTTCGATATCATTGGTAAGTCTCATCAAGTTTCTGTAGTCAGAGCAGCATTTCACTAAAAATTGACACATAGGTGCCGTGACGATGGATGTTGATCTTAACGCACAGCTTCCCGAGGACCAACAAATAGAGTTCATTAAGGGTTACAAGGAGTTTTTAACCTCATACAGGGAGGGCAGTGGTATACTGAAGTGGTGGGAGAACCCACAGCTGGGCAGGAAACGAAGGCGACTTGCCAAGTCTTGCAACGTCTTCCTCGAGGATGTCATTCGTCGCAAATTCAACGATGTGAAGCAGGACAAGGGGTCATCGAGCCGGAGTATTCTGGCTCTCAGCTTGAAAGACACACAGGTCTTGACACAGGATATCATCGACGGGACGAAGGATCAACTCAAAACCTTCATGTTCGCAGGGCACGACACCACCAGCATCCTCCTCCAATGGGCCTTTTACGAGTTATCAAGGACGCCTCGGGCAATGAAGAGCCTTCGGACTGAGCTAGAGAGTCTCTTCGGCCAGGACTTGAGCCCCGAAGTCGTCCGGGAAGCTCTACTCGCCAGGGGTGAGGAGATCACCCAGAAGATGACCTATACCTCGGCAGTCATTAAGGAGATTCTGCGCCTATACCCACCAGCTGGGACCGCGCGCCTTTGCCCTCCGGGCGCGAACTTTCACTTGCAGTTACCAGACAACAGCAGCCTCTGCGTTGATGGGATGGTTCTGTACAACTGTGCCACTCTCATCCAGCGAGACCCTGACGTCTATGGAAGCACCAAAGACGATTTTGTACCCGAGCGATGGCTCGGGAATACGGACACGTCAATGGCGACGAATGACGACGAGAAGATGGGCATTGGCAAAGCTGGCGAGAACGAGATTCCTGCCGCCGCATGGAGACCTTTTGAGAGGGGTCCTAGGAACTGCATCGGACAGGAGCTTGCCAACATCGAGGCCAGGGTGATTTTGGCTAGTGTTGTGGGCAAGTATGTCTTTGAAAAGGTCGGTCTAGGGGAGGCTACGCTGGACGAGAAGGATCGTCCCATCATCAACGAAAAGGGGCAATACAGGTCCAATACACAGCTTTACAACGTAAGCCCTCCATTAGGATAAGTCCATTAGGAGAATCACGCAAGAGCACGCCTCACTAACTTGTCGCAGACGAGACAAATTACTGCCCGGCCGGTTGACAATATGAGGGTCCGAGTGAAGCACC